TGAATATAATTTCCCACAGAGGCAAAAAGGTATTGGGGGAAGATCCACAGACCCTGACATAAACCAGTCAGAATTCAGATCTCCACATACAAACTGTTCTTCATTCTCTTTTCAAACAAAATAGTACACCCGTGTCTTTGGATCTTATTTCAGATTACAGCCCTGAGACAATCTCGTCATGCAGCTGTGACACAGTACTTGGCGCAAGAGCAAGGCAGAGTGCCACAGGTAAGTGTCCTTAGTGAGAAAAAAACTGCACAGGCACAATCAGCCAGCACAGATGGAGTGTATCTGGGAATGCAACACCATAGGGCAGGAACCACAACAACTTGGAAACGTGAGAGGTAAATCCTCTTCATCAGTAATTCCCAAACGTAGGGATTCATAATCAGTTCGTGTAGGAATGAGGAACTCCGCACACCTCACAAACGCCCTCTACCGAGAAGTTGTTCTGGCAGAGAAAAACACTACTTTCCCACGTTTGTGCAGCTCGAGGCACTTGATAATTCCAGGGCTAATTCCAGATTTGCACATCACAATAAGCTTTGTGTAGTCCTATGAAAATTCAAGCATATCTGCCACCAAAACTACCTGCAGTAAGAAGAGTTTAATTCAGTATGTGTTCTTGAACATTAAATGAAAACTGGGTTCAAGTGCAGCCCTAGAAGTGATCATGTTTGAAAGCCTGATCATCAGTCACACATTAAAAAGAAACATGGCAACAACTAAGGAAGAAATAGTATTTGATTTTAAACACTGAGCATCAGGAACCAAGCCTTTCAATAAATTTTGTAGTATCACACATTAGACCAGCAGACACAGCTGGAAAAAGTGGCATGCATTTTATCAGAGAGTGACTTCTTCCAGACAGTCAAAAGTACAATAACCTTAAGTAACTCATGTTTTCTTTCTTGTTACTTCTCAATAGAGGCTTTCTTATTTTGATGGAGGGTTTTTTTGGCAGAGATTTTCATTTCAGCTTCTTGAGTTAGGGGCTCTATTTAAAGGACAAGAGGCTACTGAAATAGATCATTTCACCAAGTTTCAGAATACATAACAGGGTTTGCAACTATTCCTATGTGGGTAGCTAGAAGTGGGTCCAAGAAGCAGCTGGGAAGAGTAGGCAGAGTCGAAGAAAGGCAGGGAAGGAGACAAGGTCTCTCTAGCTCGGTATGAAATACTCCATGTTTGGAGTCAAGGAGGACAACTGTTCAGTTTCTAAGATCACATCTCTAAGGCCAGACCTCACACTCTAAGGTTAGACATTCAAACGTCAAGCCTCTACAATTCTTTTACTAGTAAAATAGCACTGGAAGTTAAACATCTCATAGGCAATGCCAGTGCACTCCCTGGGAGAAGCTGATATGAGAAGAATTATTCTAAAGATAAGAATTATTGTGGATTTGTGTGGAGAATGTCACAAATAGCATAAGCTAGAAAACTAAATATGTTCAAAAGAGAAACACTGAGTTCAACTATGGCTGCTCAGGGATAAGCTAACTAACATAAAATATATCTGATATGCGCCATGTAGTTCTTTACTCTTCAAGACTCCAGGGAACAGAAGAAATACCTACACTCTGTGGTTAATGCTGGGCTCTGTCCAACACCAGTACTATGTCCCTGGAGCACTGGGCTACAAGCAGAAGTTTGTGGCCTCCCAAGCCTGGAAAGCTCCAACAAACACCAATACAGAAATTCTTCCTCTTTTGTCTGTATGGCTGGACAAAGTGTGTGTAGGAAAGAATGCCAGTGATTCATCATGTGTATTTCTTAATTTTTTTAGATTAAATTGACTTTGAATTAATTTAAAAAAAAAGTGGGGAAGAAGCTGCCCCGTCCAATAAACCTAGACACTAGTCCACCCCTCTCAGCTTTCAGATTTTACATCCTGCCTGCTATTCTTTGTGCCACACATAAACCAGCAGTGAGGAGGATCTGAGGAAGTCACCTGACTCCTAAGCCTCCTGGCCTAGCAGAAGGCGAAGCAACCTCCATCTCAGGTCCAAATTGAAGTGCAGGCACCAGTCTGCAACTGGCAGAGGCCTCCACTGGACCTAAGCTTCAACACAGGGAACTCTGCAAAGCAAAACGGAAATTCATGCTTCCAGCATCAGACAAAGCTGGAAAGCTGGCAGAAGCAGCTGTTCTCCAATATTTAGCATGCTACCTCTCTTTTTGCAGATGAAAACTTATGTTATTGATACCAATTCAATTTTTTGTGCCATTTTCACGGTGCTGTTTCTTTCATGGCACAAGGGTAATAGGTGCCACTACATTTAACCCTTCTATTAAAGCAATGAATTGGGTGCTTAATTTTAAACACACATCTCATCCCTCCAAGCACAACTGCAGCTTTATGCATGCATTTAGATTCCATTTGTTTTACTGTGATTATTCAGTAGGACTCAACTCATTAAAAGGTTAAAGAGCACATAGCTGAGTTGCCAACTTCAGTCAAAAGCCAGGCTTAGGACTGACTTAGAAACAAGTGTGATATCAACATCTTCCATCCCATTTGTTTGTGATAGACAATTAACAGACAGCTGCTCCTACAGATTCAAAACAAATAGTGATTTTCTGTCAACAAAGTCCCATGGAATGGCTTGAGTTTTGTCAGCAGACTGCATTCAAAAGGCCTGCACAATGCCGACTTACTCTACTTCCATCTCAAATTATCCTCCTAATGTGGTGTTGCAAAGCACATTATTGAACACACATGACAAAAGAAAAACATTGCTATTAGTTTCTCCTAGTGTGAAGATAATGGGATTCCTGTGCTTGATCTCACATGGCAGGTATTGAGCCACTTCAAAGAAAGTGACAATTTTATTGTGGGCACATTTATCACACTCAGTGGGGTTTCAGTGCAGATGCCCATGGGGTTTGTACTGGGTTTATTTGACAACCTCTCCAGAATTCTTTTTTTTTTTTAGTTCGATGCAGCTGTATTCCTTATGTGTTCCCAGAACTAAATCAGAGCATTGCCAGATAACTCTTCTTTTAGCATCTTTATCACAGGACAGAAATTCAAGTTTCCATAGTGCTGTTTCTGAAGTTCTACAGAGAATGATTTGATTGTCTTAGATTAGATTATCTAATCAGGTAAGTAATTACATGATCCTCACCTAAAAATAACAAGACACAAAGTAGCATTTGTATAGTGCAACTTTTTAACCTAAAATGTGTTCTTAAATATTGTTTCTATCTGTAGTGGAATCAAATGCTGACCAAACTTCATGACTATTGTGTGTTCATGTGCATCAATTAACGTGCAAATATTTACTACCATACCAAGCATAATGAAAAGCATTGAAAGATCTATCTCCATTTAGAAACTAGGAAATTTTCAGTTTTCCTATTATTGCGTTTATAAACATTTCCGCTTAAAGAGATCATAATAAATACTAAAACAAGTGTTTTTGGAAGTATATTCAGCAGCAGGTTTTCAATAGCAATTCACATTTTAAATAATGAAATTATTGAAATATTACTGACATTAAACATCTGCCCAGTGTGCTGAGCTAATTTAGTCATTGCATACTATTGTGGGAACATTCAAATTACTTTTGGATGATAATTAAGCTCCAGATATATTATGTATTGAAAAACAATTAGCTGTAATCACAATTACTGCATTTTGGTGAAGGTTAGTCACACAGCCTGAGAACCACAGTACTTTATTGTAGATTACATACCACTATGAGGCATTATTGCTTTTAGTTCATTCCACATACGCAAACCTCAGCATTCACTCTATGCAGCAGAGCAGAGCAGCAGATTGCATTATTAAAAGTTTGGAAACCCAGTCTCGGTGTTACTGATACAGCACCTTTTACAGTACTCCATGAGATAGACATTTCATTAACTGCCTGAACTAGAAATTGTAGTAAATAACATGTACTCATTGAAGCATTTTTCAACTTCTTTGCAATTGAGCTACTTCAGCAGACACGGGGCAGATTCCCCTTACAAAGGATGTTCTGATGTCTTACTACAGTTATTTTTATGATGTCATTAATACAGTCACATTGAGGTACCTTGTACACACACAACAGCTAAATCCATACATAAAATGAACCGTGATTCCCATCTCTTATGTCCTTCTGCCTAGGCTTCCATGTCTCTGAGTATTCATCACAGAGGGAACAATGCCTTTTGTTACTTTGGCCTGAAGTTACGCTGCAACCAGTTACAAGGGAGGTTCTCTCATGATAGAGGGAAAAGAATAAATGCCCCTCTTTGGATTTGTTGTCTGGATTTCACTTTCTTGTGCACCCAGAATAACAAATAAACTATTGCGCTCCAGTGACTGACAAGTTAGCATTTGCCCCTTACTGGTTTCCTGTCTCCTTCTTCCTCTCTCCATCTTCTAGTAAAACTCCCACTGGGTTCAGACCACTCAGTTGAGGTAAATCCTTGAGGCTATTTACCAGCAGGAGTGTCTGGCGTCCGCATGGGCTCGCATGCCTAGCTCTTCTAGAGATCTTTCAACTGCACATACTGAGTAAGCTGGCAAATTATCAATTGCAATTATAGCCATTAAGTTATTAATAGCAATTTTAAAGTGGTTAATAATATTTAATTCAATTGCTAGTTCTTTGAATTCAGAATCGTGGACCAACAGATTCCAAGTCTTGTTGCGTCCTTTCTTTTTTATTGGACTTAGTTAAAAAGCAGCTATTAAACTCTGGATATTCCGGCTCGCTGGGTCCCGGGTCCTCCAGCCGGCAGCAGCCCCGATAGTGATGCGCCGGGTTCTTAACTGGGACCAGGGACGGGCCGGGGTGATGGTCAGTACAGCGGCAGTGAAAGGCCGGCGTAAGGCAGCGGGGCAGGGGCAGGGGCAGGTGCGCAGCCGGCAGGGGGGCGGCGGTGGCGGCCAGCGCTGCTGACGGTGCTGCCCCGGGATTATCGTCCGGCGCCAGCCGACCCCGCTTTTGCTGCGTCCCTGCCGGCCCGACCGCGGGGGCCCGCCCGGGGACAAAGGGCGGAGCGAGCCGGGGCCGGGGCCAGGGCCGGGGCCAGGGAGGGCTCCGGCTCCGGTCGCCGCCGCCCACGCAGAGTACCTTCCCCAGACATGTCCCCCAACTACATCCGGAGCTTCTCGGAGGGATGTGTGAGTACCCGGGGGCGGCTCCCCACGGCACTGCCCGGAGCCGGGGTCCGGCCCCAAACCGCGCGGGGGCTGCGCCGCGCCCGCCGCCCCGAGCTCAGAGCAGCGGTGCTGCCCGGGCGGGACGCTGAAGGCGGCTTGAGGGGGGCTATAAATGGCCCTGTGGGGACCTGAACTTTAATTTGCAGGAATAAGTATGGTTATAAGTATGGTCTGGTTTGATGGTGGCACGGCGGTCCGTGCTTCGCCATCACCTGACATCATGTCAACAGCAAAACGAATAGACTTTGGGTCGAAGCGCTCAGCTCCGTCTGGCGCGTTCTGCAGCAGCGGAATACAGATAAAGGCAGTGAAACAAATGAACTGACAACTGCTAGACAAATGAACGTTTATATAAAATTAGTAGGAACAATAAAAGAGTTGTAAGCCGTTATTTTGTTAGAAAGCTACTGCAGCCTTCATAGACAAACTCCTTTTAAAACAAGTAAAATAAAATAAATATTTTGGATAATGAAAAAGAGCAAGTAGACCTCCAACAATAACAGTGTTCATTTTTGTTTTTATGGTGAATAACCCTGTGATTTGCAGCTCAGGCCACCAACGGTAATTGGCCAATTCCACACTCTTTTTTTTGGCTCAATTCGAATGTTTTTCCTTGGCGTTTTGGGCTTTGCTGTTTATGGAAATGAGGCCTTGCATTTCAGCTGTGACCCAGACAAGAGAGAGGTTAATCTTTTCTGTTACAACCAGTTCAGGCCTATAACTCCTCAGGTAATTATCTTTTATTTGTTTGTTTGTTTGTTTTTAATTGTAAAAATCTAACATTAAGAAAATAAACTGCAAAATTTAAACATGAGTGTTCCATATAAGAAGTAGTAACTGGCTGGGCTAATTATCTCTATCTTTTCTTCATTAGTATATTCCTTTTAATAACCCTTTATCTGTGACTAAATATGGATTTGTGCTTTCTGTCCTTCATAACAACAATCCTAATGTTTCAGAAACCAACTGAAATTTCAAATGAAAACATAACAGTGATTTTTACCTTTATTGTCATCTAAGTGTTTAAACATTTAATATATGTTAAAAACAGACTTGCAAAATGTTCCAATATGTGTGCATTTTAACTGTCCCTATGCAGTTGTAAATGATCTGACAGCTACCTTTCTGCTACATTTTAGGTTTTCTGGGCATTACAGCTGGTGATTGTACTCGTACCTGGAGCCTTTTTTCACCTTTACGCTGCATGTAAGAGCATCAAACAGGAAGATATTCTCCAAAAGTCATCCTACACGGGTTTTTATATCTTCTCTGTTTTCTTAAGGATTGTCCTTGAAGTTGTTGCTTTTTGGCTTCAGATTCAGCTCTTTGGTTTCAAAGTGAACGCAATCTACATGTGTGATGTGGGAGCACTTGAAAAAAAGATTAACGTTACCCGGTGCATGGTGCCAGAGCACTTTGAAAAGACAATTTTTCTTATTGCAATGTATACATTTACTGTGATTACAATGATCTTGTGTGTTGCTGAAATTTTTGAGATCTCATGTAGAAGGCTAGGTTTCTTAAAAACTCAGTGAGGTCAACCACTCCTACTCATTTACCACCGTGTCCACCTGTAGTTTTATCAAAATTATTTCAAGCCATAACAAAAAACATCTCCTGTCCTCTATGTAGTGTTGCAGAAGAGAACCACACTCATGATTACTGCTGCAGAATAGTCATCTGACATTTACTCCTTATCTAAAAACTACCACATCATGTGAATAATCTTTGTTTCCATGTCAAGACTAAAGACAATAAGATTTACAAGAGTAACATATTTTCATGACCTGCCACAAACAATAGTTTTGCCTCCAGAGGAATGTCTGTATGTGAGGAGGAGGTAATTTATAAATGTACTGTTATTCACAGGTTTTCTGAATGCATGCAATGGGGGCTAATAAGGTTATTGACCTTCCAAGAAAAACTATTCCAAATTTCTTAAATGTTCTTATGGCTTGAGAATTAAGCGGTAATGGTGGATAATCTCTGAGTACCAGAAAGAATTTGAGCATCTTCCCAATCAGTGCCACTGTTACAACCTGCATCTCAGCTCCCCAGGGCAGAGACTCCTGGTTAGAACTGTGGGGACAACATATCCATCAATACCAGCTTAGTTTGTAGTGGTCTAGCTAGTGTCACCTGCTGGCTGGGAATCTCCTTTTATAAGTGAGAGAGTCACATGGTATTCTTTGTGCTGACTGGAATGCCTTACCCTCCTTATGTTTTGGCTTAAGATGTAGAAGATTTTTAATAATTTAGCATGATCCCATTTTGAAGGAATAAAGACTTAATTTTGCATAAGAGGCTTAAAAGTGTCAAAATAAAATATCGGAGATAAGCCTTCTCTAGACCCAATAATGACTTGATTTCAGTGAGAGTTTTGCTTGTGTATGACTGCAGAATCAGGCCCACAGAATTTTTTCCTATATGTGTCACACCTAACTTCCTGCTCTGACTAAAGTTGCTAGAATAACAGCTAAAAAAGAAGTCTGCATACTAAAATTATTCTATGCAATAAGTGTATGTGGTTAAGTTAGGTTTCAAACTTTATATAGGTATCAGATATTTTTGTGTGCAACAGTTTCTTCTTAGGGACTAATAAACATATCAAATTTACAAGTGATTTCCTTGTGCTGAAGTGAGATAATGGAAATAAAACAGATTTTAAAATGGGAAAGAAAGGAGGAAGTAGTTTCCTGTATAAAATACATAAGAATAGCAATCATAACAATTAGCTATTTTCTGTTTGTTTTTCAAACATAAAAACTTGAGATCCCAGTGACATTTGGGTCCTTTCAGGAATATTTGGAAAATTCTGGAAAAATTATTACCAAATGTTTTAGCACCAGCTGTTACTTATGCAGTCCCAAGCAAGGTTGTAATCCTCACCCACAATAGTAGTCCTCGTTACATAAATGGAATTGCATGATTTAGGTGTCTTGGATTTGATTGAATCTGGGCCATTTAAAACAAAGTGGGTGACAACTAGATGTCTGATTTTTTTTAATATGCTGATCAAGAACAAGATGATGAATTTCAGTGCATTCACTATATTAAAGCATTAATGTTATTTTTTTCCCTACGAGAATAAGATATATGTTGTCTTAAACGAATGTCCAGTCAACACCATCAGATTTGTTCAATATGAAACTTACTTGTAAGTTATTTGATATTTGCAAGCATTACAAGTGGAATAAAAATCACTGTGCTAATTTCTTGTTTGCATAATGTGCCATGTGCTTTGGTTGATACATGTTTAATTTTTCACTGTATATGTCAGTATCCATCTGGAATTATTCTTTGCAATTGAAACTTGTAATCTCAGGTAAAAACCCCTTTTTTATTTATAAAAGAATACAATAGATAGAACTACTCAAAAGAAGAATTTACTTTCATGTGCTAGGTACAGTTGTGATCAATGGTACACAAATCACACGATCAGATATTTGTATAGTAATAAAATTACTTAATCACAACCTTGTCAGTATTTTCCCTGTTGCTTAATATTTCCATTGCTTGCTGTTCTTCTTCTGTAGTGTAGATTTCCAAACACTTCAGAGAGGTCAGAGAAATGCCAAAACCCCCAAGCCCTCAGGGGATGTCCTTGTTAACCACCAAGACCCTTGAAGAACAAGTACTACCATGGGACTGCCTGAGGACCCCCAGGGGGGCTTTAGGAGCTGGATTACCCAGCACTATGCCCTTTCCCTTGGTGGTCAAAATCTGGAACATATTTAAAAGTTTCCTTCTTGTAAATGAGATACACCACCAATTTTTTCCCTGCATTTCCTGTGAAATTAAAATAGTCAAATTCCTCTGTTTTTCATTTAGAAACAAAATGTGCATTACTGCCTTTTAGTGCAAATGTTTTTCTGTGACTAATTCTGTCATTAGTTTCTGGAACAAGTTGATGGGGGTATTATCTTCATGTAAAGAAACCATTTCCCCATGGTTGTCAACACTTCTTTTTCCTATATTTGCCATTTGTTTACCTGGCATTTATTGTACTCTCAAGGGGTTTCTAAACTTTTCTTTCGCCTGGTCTCCCAAACTCCCACCACTTTAATCGTCATTTACATTGTTTTCTATTAGCTTGCTTCCACCCTTACTCCCTCTGAGATTGATATGCCTTCACGTGTTTCTCTGTGTTATACTGATTTTAACTCAAATGCTTAGCATATATTTGAGATGATCTGAAGGTTTGGGGGTTTATTGCCTTTATGAAAGGAATTATATAATCCACTTCGGGATTCTTTGATTCAATTCTATTTCTTTACACAAGTGAACATGAAGTCCTGTCTCCCAGAACACTGAGGAAGCATTTTTGTTGTTTACATCAGGTTCATGCTGTAAGTGCTTCTTTGATTTTTTCATTGTTCTCCACCATACTTGAGCCACCTCATTTTCACAGACAGCACTCAAAGCAATCCCCAGCTCACGTGTTTGTAGTCGGTTTTGTCTCTAGTGAGCCATCATGACCATTTTAGTTCTCACTTAACAAAGAGCTGTAATTGTGATGTGATTGCATTTACATCAAAGATATAGCTGTTCTGGGCCAGCCAGCTTCTAGTATACCACCACAACATCCCAGTCCTGTAACCACTTCTTGTTCTCTTCCCTTCTTGGCATCCTTTCTTCTGTTCAGACATCATTTCCTTTCTGTTCTCTTTTCAGCACCCTCCCATGCCAGCAATGAGACAATGCAGCCACCTCTTCTACCCCATGCCTCCCTCCAATCCACATCTTTCTTTATGCCCTGGCGCATTGACATTCTCTTGCCTTGCAGACAGTCATTTTGAGACCAAGAAGAGGTTTGGCAATAGGGCTATCTAAAACAAATTTTAAAATAATTTTAATTATGCTGTCAGAATGAGAAGCTGATAGACACTGAAATAATTTATATTGCAATAATTTGTGAGATCCGTTTGAAACCATTTTGCTTCAACAGTTCACATGTCTTTTGCTGTACTTATCTGCTCTCAGCAAACCCAGAAATCCCTGGAGGTCCCTCCAATAAGAAGTTATCTGGGAAGTAGTGATCCTACAAGATGTACGTTCCAGGGCTGGTGGACCTGCTGACAGCTGCTGGAAAGCAGCCCAGCCCTATTAGCCAGACCACGGTAGCATACGGCTTCTCCAGCGGGATGAAGGGCAGAGGTCCAGGAGAGAAGGTGCAGTTCAGCCCACGAGGGCTCCCTGGACGCCTGGTGAGCCTTGGCGCAGCCCAAGCGGCAGGTTTTTCAATCTGAGATTTTACTTGCCGGTGTACTTGGGAAGGGAGACAAGAGGGATGGGAAAGGCGTCAGCGAGGACATAGCCGGGGCCAGGCAGGGCCAGGGGAAGCCCTGGCCGTCCCGAGGTGTCCAGACCCTTCCTCACGGATGCTGTGGGAGGCGTTTCAAGCACCAAGGGGCCATGCAGGTGGCGCTTGAGGCTGTGGGTCCGCATCGGCGGACAGACGGACAGACGCGCCGCACGGCACGCTGCCTCCCGCCCGGCCAGCAGGGGGCGCAGTTCCGGCCCCCCTCTCCCCCCGCCGGCCCCCGCCCACGGCGCCCGGAGCCGGAAGCGGAAGCGGCGCGCGCCAGCCCCGGGAGCGAGAGCGGTGCTCTGCCGCCCGCGCGCGCCATGGCGGCCCCGGCCCTGCCCCCCCTGCCGCCGCCGCTCAAGAGCATCCAGCACCATCTGCGGACCGCGCAGGAGCTGGACAAGCGCGAGCCCGTGGTGGCGTACTACTGTACGTGAGTGAGGAGGAGGCGGCCGCGGCGCCGCCCCGCCCCGCCGGTCCCTGGCCCGGCCACCGCCCCCTGCCCCGGCCGCCAGTCGCCGCGCTGGGCGGAGCGCCCCTCCCTTCCCTTGCCCTCCCCTCCCCTGCCTTGCCCGCCTGGGGGGCCCGTGGGATGTGCGAGTTCGCGAGGGCGGCGGGAAGGCCCCACCTCTGGGCGGCGCCGGGTGGTCGCGGTCCTGCCCTGACCCGCCTCCCGTGGGCTCTGTCCTTTTGCGGAGTTAAAGGCTCTTCGCAGGCGAGGGGGGTATGCCAGCAGCCCGAGTGCATGCTTGGACACACGTGTGTGAAGTCCAGTGTTCCGTCAGTGTTGGGATAGCCGTAATAAGTATGGCATAAAATAATACTCGAGAGCCTTTTCGAAGTTTTTCTCCTCCTGAAAAGACTTCCTTTCTGTCCTGTGTATCTGAGTAAGCGTTTAGGGTTTGAGAGTCTTTGGTCCTGCCAGTTGTGTTCATTTTATTTTCTGTGGGGCTTTGTCACCTTCTCAGGGTTCTCAACGGGGGCGAGTGGGTGGCTCTTTTTCTCTTTGTTTCTCTGAAATGAACACAGCAAAACCTTACTGTAAAACTTCCGAATTAATAGGCAAATTTTTTAAGCTTCTAAGGTAATGGTCGTCAGGGTGGACTGTGAGCCTTTCTAAAAGACTTTTCATAGCGAACTAAGAAATGCGAGCCTGCTGTTAGTCTTAAATTCCTGTTACAATTAAACCACACGGGGAAAATGCCTGAGATCACCAGAAATGTCTGTTTATGCTGTGACGACCACCACCCTTAAGGGGAAGGAGGGTATGTAGTCACAGTGTTGTTTGTTTTTTTCTTTTTGTTGAGATGCGAGGTCATCTGAGGGGTTTACTTGGCTTGTCTTCAAAAAGAGCTAAAAATAGATGTAGTTTAATTTGTAAGGATGAATTCATGAAATTGGAGCTTCAGAAAGCTCTGGAGAATCTGTCAGTTCAGTGACAGAAGAATAATATAAACTTTTATGTGTTACGCAGGAATACTGTGCTAATGTGGAAAACTGCAACCAGAGAAGGGAGATAGCCACATATTAGAACATTGGTTGTTCTCGATAGTACTTGCTCTTTATTTAATGGCAAAACACGAGACAAGGCACACTTTGTGTAACAGAAATCACGAGTTAGGTCAAGTTGCACTGATTTTTTTGTTTGGTTTTTTTGTGTGTGTGTGTTTCTTTGGGTTTTTCTATCAGAGGTAACACCCTATCTGGCTAGACAAGAAAAAGACTAGCATTTAGTATAGATGAGAAGATACAAGTCTATTTTTATTTTAAAACAGAAATGGTTAAGTGTCTGAACTCTATTTTTCTTTGTCTTTTCAATTCTGAAACTTAAGTCTTAGTGTAGAGGGAAAAAAAGCCTGTGTTGGATAATTACTATTTTCTATAAAGTTGTTTGCCTTGTCTGTCCTAAGTAGTCTGAAAATTTTATTTTTTCATTTGAGTACTTCAACACATCTGATACATTACTGAGTACAGTGAAGGCTATATTCTAATTAAAGTATTACATAAAGTAAAAAACAATGACACCTCTTTTTCAAGTTAGGTCTTGCTCAGATCCTTTGTTCTTTCAAATAGACAAAGGAGAAGAATTAATTTTCACCAGTGTTCCACTGGTGACACTTATTTCCTCCCATGGTGGATCAGTTTTGTCTGGATTGACTAAAATGCGGAACTCCTGTTTCATAGGATTTTTTTTTCTTCATTTGGTTCTGGCTTTGAAGCAAGAAGATTTATGAACCATTAATTTTTAACATTGTGGGTTTAGAACAATTACGTGAAATCCCAAAGTATTAATTATTAATATTGCTACTGTCCAAAAAATGTACTGTATATACTGCTAGCATTCAATGAATAATAAAAGCTTTACTGAAAAGATAGGTTTTTAAAAGTGTAGGTCTGGGTATACAAAAAAGTTTCAGGATACTTTTCAGATAAACTTTTGAGAGCAATGCAGATTTATATAGAGTTAAAGCAGTGTTTCTCATTAGATGTTTCACTGAAAAAAGTGAACATCTCTTTGTTTAGCCTTTGAAATGTGTTTCAGAGGAGCTCTATACATTTTCTATAATGTATTGTGTGGAGGGAATAGTGTGAGGAAATCTCGGTGTGTGCTGGAACATGTGGTGTTCTCTGTGCTGGCGCTTCTCCACCAGCCTCATCTGCAGATGCATGCCTGGCACTGTGTGTCCTGGGACCAGGAGGCTGGTGTGGCCCAGCAGCCAGAGGGGGCCCTGCAGTGACAGGTCATGTGATGAGTCAGTGCTGCACGTTCCATCACAAGGCTGCTTGCACAGCCACTCTGTGAGGCAGAACCATCTGACTTTTGGTCATCTGCTGGGTGTAACTATCAATCTGAAGAGTGACGTGTTTATAGCTTTGGAATATTGCCATAAGTGGCTCATACCTATAACAAAGCTTTGGTCCTAGTATTATTAATGTTTCCATAGCACGGTAGTTGTCAGTATGGACATATGTTTGCTAGGTTTTGATTTATGTTCATTTTAGTTAAATTCCACTTGTATATTTCTGATAATAAGAGCTGTGACACGAATTGATTTGAACATCAGAAGCAAAAATCTGACAAGATGTGCTTGCAACCTAAAATATTACTTTCCATAGCTTAGCAATAAAATTGTCAGGAGTAACTACTTACTACCTTGTTAATATTTTTGTCTCTCATCAGCATCCA